ATAACTGATTGGTATCATTTGCACTTTTTGTGGAGATCTCTACCATATTTTTTAAAGTTTTGACATACTTCTGCATGGCTTTTATGAAGGAACTTTACAGAGTCAATTGCAAATTTTACGACTTTAATGATGAATGAATTGTGGTCTAACAAAAACTTGTTATGAAATAAGTGATTTTTGACTAAAGGCCATGGATAGTAGCTTTGAAATTCTGGTTCTTACATATTCAGACTAGGCAAGGCAGGTATCTTGGACTGTCATCGTTGGCAAGCACTGTGTTTTAATAATCAATATAGATTCAGATGGCCGCACATAACCTATATCTAATACCCAATCTAAATTGCATGTCTAATATTTTTTTTTTTGGCAATTTAATTAGTTAGGTAGGAACATCATGGAAACCGCTTCGACAAATCGCTCTACATCAGCTGGAAGGTCAACATTATCAGTTCGTACAACACCAGTGGTGCCCCAAACCAAAACAACAATAAGGACTCCATCTCCTGTTCCAGCCATAGAGCCTCCTGTTGATAGACGAAGAGATAAGAGGTAACACAATTTCCTCTCTCATGATATGCTAAACTTTTTATGTATGTTAAAATGGTGACTATTGTTCTTCATTAAGTTCAGGTGTCTGATAGGATGATCCATGGTTATTAAGATTTTTTGAGGAGTTTGGTCCATTCTTTTGTTCTTTGTGCTTGGATGGTGGATGTAATTGTTACTTTCATAACTTCTAAACTGCTAGTTTGGTTTGTAAATTTATGTGAAGCAAATTTCTTTTTAATCTACATGCTTTGCATAGTCAGTGTCAGGACTCTGGATAGAGAATTTTTTGGCAAATGTATGACTCAATGCTCTTATCGTTGTCTTTTAAAGATGTGGGTTTCTTCATTTGCCAAAAAGTTTGCAGTACTGCATCAAATTTAGCATTTCTTTGTATAGTACCATAATTGGGAATTTTGATCTCGTTTTTTAATCTGGAAGTAATATATATCACGTAAACTATCTGAATAGCATAGCGTTTATTCATGTTATCTATTCAAAATGATGCCTTCATTATATATCTTTTCTCGTCTTCTCATCACTTTACATGGGATGTGATCCTTCTTGTTCCTATTTGTTCTCCAATTTCTACTAAGTTGCTTTTACACCACTTTTCTACTTCTTTTTGTTACTTTCCTACGCATTGAGGGTTTCTTCCTCCCCAATATCTTATATCCACTTGTGTTTTTCTTGTTTTAGGAGGTTGTTTAAATTGCCTAGCTAAGAATATCCTTAATGGATATCTCCTGCATCTGTTTACTCTCCTTTCTTTGGAAGGTGTTTCTAAGTTTTTCTTTGCTTACTCAGCTTTTGTCCATCGTTTAGGTTTCTTCTGGTTTATAGGCTGTTATGTGCATTCTTTTTTTTGAGGATCTTTCCTTCAGTTGCTCGGGTTGTTGAATAGGAGTCCAATCAGTTTCCAATGTGCCGGTAACCGTCCTACATTCTGCAATTATCTGTCCATGATACTTGGCCACAAGCACAAGAAAAGAACAACAGTAAAGTTTAATATAGAAATACATGGGATGTTACTATAATAAAACATGACAATTATGGTAGCATGTGACCCTCTAATTGGATTGTTTTCCAATTTGAAGAGAATAGTCATCCCAGGAAGGAAAAGAGGGAAGAGGTTAATTAGCCTAACTAAAATTTTTAAATTGCACAAATTAAATGAATCTCAAGTGTATCTCAAGGCCTCACAAGGTGTTTATATTCGTAGAAATTGTGATATAAAACCTAATCTTGTGATTTCACAACATTCTACGAAAAGAGGACTCTACAATTCTCAAAATACAATTCTTTATAGGTTAGCAGTTTTTCTAGTCTGTGATATAATGATAATAGGACTCTTCGATGCTGTACAGACTAGGAAAAATAATATAAAGGCCCACTAAATGGCTAGGATGCTCATTGATGAATCTGTCAAAAAATAACAGAAGTAATGAAAAAAATAATAATGTGCTCCTATTCTGACTAGGAAATCATCTAGTAATTCATCTAAAATCCCTTTCTTGTCCTCTTTGAATCAGAGTCAGTGGATGCATCTGGATCATTGTTTCCTTCAGTTCTAGCCTTTTGGGGATTGATTTAGATCCCAACTACTTCATAACAATTCACTACTCATCAAATTCATCTTATCGTCAAAGGTGAAGAGCCAAGTACGCACTGCCAGGCCAAATTCTCGACTGTCATTGGCTTTACATTCATTGTTCACAAAATTTTGAGAAATTAAAGTTCCTTTTGAAAATGACTAGGTGAAATTGCTTCAAGCTGTTGAATACTTGTCATTGGAATGCCATTAAAATTAATCTTTTGCTGTTCAGGGTTGCCATTGCAAATTTTGGCAGACTGAAATTTTCAGCATGTTGTTAAGACTTGAGATTGCTTTGGAATGATCTCGGCGAAGTCAACTTCAAAATACACTTGTAGAGTGGAAGGCAGCAGGTCAAGTGCTGTGATGTCGGAATAGTCTCATGATGCTTGAACAGCACATCCTTGATATTCTTTTGTTCATCTGTCTTGTGTTAGTGGCAGTTTGCTATGATAGATCTGAGGTGTTATCTGTGGCTGTGGGGAGGTTGACACTCTCATTGACTAGATTATTGTGGAGGGCGACAAGGTCACTGACCTATGCTTATCATTTATCATCTTGTATATATGATGATGCTTTGGGGGCTTCATCCGCTATATAATATTCCGCAACTTTGCTATGTCGTCACATCCCTTAGCTTATTTCCTGGTTCTGGACTATAAATCTAGTAGCCTGTCCTGATTGTGTTGGAAGTAGACCGCCATCCTTGCTCTTTCCCATGCTGATAGAGTATGACATCCTGTTGTGGAATAAGTTAATCAGAATTGGTAAAATGGCAAAACCAGTGCACTAGGTTCCTTCCATTGCAGGGAATGGAGAGGTTCAAAGCAAATAGAAACTGGTACTAGCTTAATATTGTTTTGGTTCTTTGTTAACATTAATGTTAAATGACTTGATAGTAAACCCCTTGGTCAACTTTATTACATTCATCTTTTTAACATTCACCAAGATTTCTTGTTAATAGAACAATATGTGCATGCTCATAAATCTGACTTCTGTAATTATTTAGAAACAGTCTTATTTACCCTTACACCCCAGTAATCTCCTTACCTATGCATGCTTTAACTGGTTGGTTTTGAGTATTCAATTACAGTAAATGAGTTGGATCAGTTTCCAACTAGTATAGATGTCCTAGGCTTTAGAAAATTCTGAACCTTTTTAATTCATACAAGTTGTTTACATATGTTGCAGATTTTTTCCAGACATGGGGCATCTAAACTCTAGGGAGCCAGGTGATTTGCGTGAGGCTTCTGCACTTCAGGATCAGGTAATTCATCTCAATTTTGTTTAAGTTAATTTAGTTTAATGAATGTATAGATACTTCAATGAGGGCATTCTTTTGGATACTTTGTCATGTCTTCTAGTTGTGAAAAACTTTTACTTCTTAGATTGAAATTGGAGGCAGTTAGTTTGCTAGACTCATTTTCACTGACTTGCAGCTTGATATGCTCGAAGAAGAGAATTACAACCTGCTTGAAAAGGTTTGCAGTTACTTCAAGTCTTCAATCTTTCATAGTTTCAGTAACAAAATATTGCTTTTTATATGCTGGCATCTGATGCATTATGTGGAACTTGTTATACAGCTGCAACTTGCTGAAGAGAGATGCAAGGAAGCAGAGGCTAGGTCTAGGGAGCTTGAAAAGCAGGTTATAGTAATTTTGTTAATTCATCTTTATTAATTTCTTCTATTAAAATGTTTTGGATATTATAACAATTTTAGTGAGAAGGGTGGGGCTTTTGGCTAGCCCAAGCCCCTTTACTTTCCATGTGTTGCTTATTATTGTATGCCTGTAAATATATATTATAAGCTTCAACGATCTAAATATGAGTTGATACTATTTTGGTAATCTATCAGAATGGTATGGTCCTGATGTACTGGTGGTATATTGACTAGTACCTCTAGCTATGATTAAATAAAAAAATTAAGATTGAATGATATATGTTTTGATATTAGTATCTGACCAAACTGGTAAATATCAATTGATGTATACCAGCTTAATCAATATTTAAATCCTTGATAGGTTTCACATTTCAAAATGTCAATTGTTTGTGTATGTTATACTGTACTTATGATATCATGCATATGCAAGGAATGCCATATCATGCCGACCGGTTGTATTGGTCATTGGATGGACTAGTACGTAGTGGTACTGGAGTACCATGTGTCAAGTGTCAACTGGTGGTACATAATTTGATAAGCATAGATGGGCAGTATACCTATTGGTTGAATTTCGAATGTTTCTCCATGAATTCTTATCAAATTCATATCCAGTTCAACCTTTTGTAAAAGGGCTTCATTTATTTTGGTAAACCGTTTTACATCAACCTTGTAGGAGTCATGACAAACAATTATTTTATGTTTTTGCTGAAAGAGAAATTATGATGATTTTAAGGAACTCAAGGAATAAAATTAAACTGTTAAGTATAGTTTTGTCCACCTTGAACTCGAGGACTATCAGTATTAATTCACATGTGGGACATATGTCTTCATCCATTTTGAAGTGGAAATTCTCCATGTCATTATTCTTTTATTACCAATGTTGCAGGTTGCCAATCTTGGTGAAGGGGTTTCGTTAGAAGCCCGTCATCTGAGCAGGTAAACTTTGAGCTAATATGAATACCTTGCCAACCTATAAGTGGGTATCCTACTTTGACGTCTGAGGCCTATTTTTATTGCAGGAAGGAGGCAGCACTACGCCAAAGAGAGGTAATTGTGTTGGTAGGAATTTTGTATCATTTGTAAATCATTCAATAATAGGTGGACACTAAAGGGATTTAGGTTTGCTATTCCAATCAGCTTCTGATTAAGAGCTAAATGGCAGTAAACAATCCACATAGCTGACCCTAAATAGTTGAGACATTATGAAACCGTCATCACAGTAAGAGTTATATATTTTGTGTCATGAATAAGAATTAAAATTTTGTGCTATATATGGTTTGCATGAAACAAACTTGACTTTGATGGCATCAACTACTATTGTTGGCCAGAATCATTAGTTTGTTGCACCAGGGCCTACCCTTGTGCTGGCCGACAGAGATCAGATTGGCCTAGCCATATTTCAATACCTTAAGCTCATGCCAGCATGGTACAAGATGTTTTGACCACTGCTGAGACAGGTGACATGACAAATCTAGCTTGTTGGAACCGAGCTTCTAACTGCCACTGTCTTCCCAAATCAAAATGTAAGTCACTGTCTGATGATAGGCAACATATGATAGGATTCGTAGTTAAATATTTGAAACATACTAATTATCTGGTGGCATCAGTATTGTTGGTCTGATGACATGACTATTTTTGATCCTCTGTTCTAGCAGCATGACTGCGAATGAATGTGTTTGCAATATAACATCAATACTTTTAGTATCCTCATTAGTTTGTCATTTTTTATTGAAAAAGCTGCTTGAATTATAACTCCTGTAAACTTGAAGAGTGATTTGAAAAGCTTTCTGACTTTGCTTTTGCTTCTCCAACATCATTCTGAGAACTGTGTCCATACCATTCACTCATGTTTTCTGGAACCAAGATGGTGAATTGGATAAATGAATTTAAATGTTTTTTTTTCATAAGTTCAGGAAGCTATGAAGGCTGCAATGAGAACAAAGGATGACAAAGATGAGGAGCTAACAGCTCTTCGACAAGAAGTGCAGGTAATCAGTAATCATTTTTACCTCTTGCTATTGTTTAGTGGTAGACCTACTTTATATAGGTGATGTCTGTTTGGGTTTGATGCTTGGAATAGTCTGCAAAAGATGAGACTGCAAACACAGTGGATCAACTCCAGGATGCTGAATTGGAAGTAAAAGCTTTAAGGTCCATGACACATAGAATGATATTGACCCAAGAAGAGATGGTTAGCTCTTTCATATAAGCTGTTTTTCCTTAAAATTAATTTTGTTCATAATGAATTAAACAAAATCTGATTGCGTATGCTTGGTAAAATTCTAGGAAGAGGTCGTTCTAAAGAGGTGTTGGCTTGCTCGATACTGGGCTTTAGCTGTTCATCATGGTAAATTTTTGTTTTTTAAAATGAATCGATCAGTTTTATGGTATCAAAAGGATGTTTTTCTCTTAATATCTTTCATGCATGTGCATATTTGTGTATTTTTGTGGGTGTATCATGCATGTGTATAATTTTGTCAGACTATATGCATGCTTGTTGATGAATGTAGTAAATTAAGCTGAAAAAATCCAACTTTGGTCATTACAGTGTGTTCATATACAAGCATAGTTTTAGCCATGTCACACTTGCTTTTGTAGAAGAACACAACTACACTCTGTTTCTTTCTTTCTAACTGTCTGCCTGTCCATTGGTTTATCTATCTACTTGCCTGGCTATATATACAAACATATTTAAACAAATATACAAACAGGGTCAACTTTGACATGGCTCAGGTTTTGTTATACTTGATATATTCATCTTTAACTTTTAAGTTATCATAGAAAAATATAATAAAGGACTGAATACTGTGAGGCATTAGAAATAGTGATGCTTGATTGGTTTACTTAAACAAAGCAATTCACTATGTTCATAGTGGAGATGGAATTCATGGATACTGTCCAAAGCAGTAACATTAACTGAGTTTGTTGGGATTTGGGAATATGATTATAGCATTAAATAAGTTGTGGGACATGAAATGGTCACCTTAATGCCATTTGGTCATCGATGGTGAAGTAGGACACTAGGACCAGAAGTGGTTTGGTTAGAATAATGTCAGTTTTAATTTCTGTACTAAGTGGAATGATATATGGCTTTGTAGATGTCTATCAGTCTTATATTCCTGCTGAGTGATTTGCTGTTGGAACTTCCTAGATTTGTGTAAGGAATATTCAGACTAAATTAATGAAAAGAGTTCACTTGATTTATTTTCAGCCCTATGCTATTTTTCATCCTTTCTTCTTACATTTTCTTTCATGGATTTCTATGTGTGGAAATGTTATGGATGAAATTTGGTTATTGCTTTAGTTGTATATGTATTTTTTCTCAATGCATCTTTTGTTACATATACCACCTCTGTAAGATGGATGCTTCAACTTGTTCAGAACTTCTTTGTACAGGATGAACTATCTAATGCAAGAATATCCTTCTTGGTGACAAGTTTATGCTGTAAGTGGCACAGCATGTGCCAATAATTGACATAACCATGTCTTCCAGTTTCATCAAATGAAAAGAGAATAAAAAGAGATTTGGCACCCATTCACTTTGGTTGTCTATTTGTATTTGTTGAAATAAGGTTACAGTACAGAAAACCCCTTTTAGACCTTATATGAGTTCCATACTTCTAAATGATCCATAAAGCATAAGATATCTTTATGTATGATTTATTTGAATATAGGACCAACAGAAAGTAAATTTTACTGCTTCCATGGATATTTATGTTTGAAATTCTAGTTTCATTTGCTTCAAGTGTCTGCTGCTCATCCAATAATTTGGACTTGGATTATATGGAAATTATAATGAATGGCGCCAGCAAAAATAAAACAATGAATGAATTAGGTGTAACTCGTCATATCTTAATATCTATTCTCCATAGCAACTACTGGATGTCACAGGCCCTAGTTTTTTGTTTAGGACTTCATGCATTGTAAAAGGTATAGGAGATCTGCTTCTTGCAAAATTCATCTATTTTGATAGGGTTAGTTCCAACTCATCTGAATAGCCTCATCTCTTGTAACAAAAGCCACTGATGCATAAATGTCCTTCACTGTGTTTCATGCTTTATGAAGTTTCTTTTATTGTATTCAGACTGCTCTCTACTGCTTTTAGCTGTAAAATTTGTTGACTCATTCAAATTTGCAGGCATCTATCCAGAAATTGCAGCAGCAAAACATGAGTACTGGTCATCATTTGCTCCTCTCCCACTTGAAGTTGTCAGTTCTGCTGGACAAAAAACAAAGGATGATTCTTGGAGCACTGGCAAGTCATAAATTATGAGAGCTACCAGCATTACTGATCATGATATCCCTATGACACTGTACATTCATAATTTACTATGTTGGTGTCATTTAACTTGATCTTTTGTAGGTTATGATGACACTGATAGGAGAAATCAACTTGATCGTGATATAAGTGATATAACTGCAGAAGGAAACATAGAAAACATGCTTGCAGTCGAGAAAGGTCTGAGGGAACTAGCTTCACTAAAGGTCTTATTTCAGCTTCAAACTTTGAGTTATAATTTCTTCTTTAACCTAATATCTTGTAATGCTTTATGAGGTGTGCTTGCATTAGGACTAGTTTCTTCATAATTCATGTGAATTCATTAGTCAATTCTTTACTTATACTTTTCTTCAAGTGTACAAACCTGTGTTATCAATCCTTAAACTTAAGGTCGAGGATGCTATCATGCTTGTGCTGGCTCAACATCGACGTCCTAATTTAATTCGACAATCAGCCTCAGGTTTGTTTATATATTGATCTTTTCATCATTTGTTACTTTATACCTTTCTTGTATAATTGATTTTTCATTTTTCTAAAATTGATGCATTTTGTGTAGCATATTCTGTAAGAAAGACAAAATATATACACGAGTTTCTTAAATTTAAATTTTAATCTGCCCAGAAAGAAAACCTGAATTTTCAGGTTCTATATTTATTTTTAGAACTGCTCTCAGCGAAGTCTTGTTAGTACTGTGGATGATCCGAGTGGAGGTATACTGGAAATTCCACTACACAAATTGTAGAAAAGCTGTCGGAACAAATGGTTGAAAAGTACTTATAAAATTTTCACTCAATTTAATTGGATAGGTGACGCTAGAGAAAAATTATTGTTATGATGACATCCTATAGATGTAAATAACCTCTTCTGCTGACGGTATTAAGATGGCACAAGTTGTTTCCTCTTGTGGTAAGTTTAGTCAGGGGTGTGCAGTCTTTGTTGAGTACACATTTAACATACTCTGTTCCTTGCCCATACCAGCTAATCTTTGGTGGGACACTTTCTATAGTACTTAAAGTGGCAGCAATCTTGTTGCTTGAGCACTGACAATGCATTTATCATGACTATGTTGGTTGTGGTGGAGAAATAATCTGATTGAAGCAACATTTGGCTGCTGGACAAGTGCATGAAAGTACCTCAATCAATTAGATTCACATTTGTTGATGCATTAATGCAAAGATTCACACAGGAGGAACACAAACTAGGGGTTACTTGATTTGCCATTTTCAATCTTTTTGAAGTCCAACCATTATGTTCACATTGAGTGACTAGCATGGAATATCATCAAAGTGAATACGATGGAATATGCATTTTTGTTACTATGTAAAAAAAATGACATCTTCTGTAGCAATTTTTGTCACGATGCATACTTTCAGTAAGCAAGCATGAAACTTATTATTTTAAAGTTCATAAGTTAAAAACTATTTGATTTTAACTCAACTGTGTTTAAGACATCTTTTTCTTTCCTTTGTTTGTGCAGACTTAAGGTCACCTGGTGATCCGAAATGGGATGAATTTGGTAAATTTTAAGATCTATAAGCTTCAGATACTTGCTTTTTGAATAAATGTTGTATTACCTATAAGAATGTTTATTCCCTTTATTTACTTTCATTTCCATGCTTGCTTTTTGAATAAATGTTCTAGAAACTATAAAAATGTTTATTCCCTTTATATATTTCCATTTCCAAATTACCTATGAACTTAATATACTTTTGGCTTATGCTTTGCCGTCCATATGTAACTTATCCTTTTGTTTAGGTTCTTCATTCTTTGTTTGTGATCTATGTGTTTTTAGGCACCTATAATTGATAATACAATGTTTCTCTACAGAGCTAAGCCAGGAGGAGGCAGAGGATGTCTTGTTTAAGCAGGTTCCATTACTTGCTCCATAGTTTGCACATTTTGACTTCTGTAGCTACTGAGGAATTTGTTTTATTAAATAGTCTGTTGAACTTTACTTATTGCTTACCTTTTAATTTGCACTCATTGGGTTTCTTTTAGTTAATAGATATCTAATAAAAGAATTATTTATTTAAACTACATTTTATGTTGCTCAGTTATATCCTTCATTGTTGACCCATCAACGATTTAGTTAAATTTGAGATTGGAGAGTTAGATTAGTGAAATGAGTTGAAAGAGGGGAGAGGAAAGGGTTTAAAAACCCCTTTTCAAAGCCTCAAACGGTCAAATTAACTGTTTGAAATAGGGCAATCCTAGCCCTTGATTGGTAACGGTCGAGATTCAACCGTTACCAACTGGTACAGGTCGGTAACGATTGGATTTCGACCATTATCGCCTGGTATAGACCCCGTATTGCCTCATATAGGGTCAAGTGAACAGTATCACCCGATAGAGGGCAGTCCGTGTACTTGTATCTTGTTGGACGAGTATGTATCGCCCGTACCGGGTGGTACCTATTGGTATAGCAAACCCTGGTATCACCAACAGACTAGTTTATAGGTCTCAATTTGTTGGTATTTTCACTAAGAGACACCAAGATACACTATAAGTACTACTGTTAAGTCTTTTGAGCCTTTAGCGGCATTATCATTTTGGCCAGTGATGCTAGGATTTCTGTACAAAATGACTCTATTTTGGCATGCTCCGACAACGATTTCATTCTTATTATAATTGCCAATTTGACTGCTACCATACCATGTGTTTGTGCAGCTCATTCATTGCTCGGATTCAACACTTGTGCAACTGAATTTTGTCTTGGCACACATTGACTCTTTCTCTAAGAATGACTTGAATTTTCCCTTTTAGCCTGCTCCTTTGCATATCACGTCCATGATATTGCAGGTGCAGAATATGAATGATTGATCCTCTTTTTGCTTTCATTTTTGACTGAACCCTTTTTATCTATGTATTCACAATTCACTATTGTTGGATGTAAATGTCTGAATCATTGCACCCAGATGTTGTGTCATGGTTTTCTCTAGGACATGTAATATTGGCACAATATGGCTGTATCCTTCATTACAGTTTGGTTTCAAGTCAGATTAATTAATCATTTGAGATCAGCCGGGTTTGTGATTTTATGTGCTTATTATGTACTGAAGTTTAGATGAAATTGTTATTACATAATCGTCAATTGAGTATCTAACATCATCAAAATTGAAGGTCAATATTTATCACCTCCCAAATTTAATCCAAGTATTATGTTCTGTACTAGTATCTTAATAAATCCTTCTAACACTGTAATTTCTTACCAGTTGGACTCGATAAAATGCCAAATTCAAGGTAAGGTATTTACCAAAAACATGGCAAAGGTTTCTGTTCGATGATAAAAAACTCACTCTATAGGAAGATTGACTAAGTGGACATCCTGAACATGAATCCTAAAGTAGACTTAAGCTACATCAACTTTGCCCCTGAACAACCGCTATATGTCCTTTCATGACTGAGTGGTACCGGAGTTTGTGAATCAAATTACAGTAGTAATCTTGTAACTGTTGCTGTCTACTATGGCTTTTCTTTAGAGGTTCTATCAATGAAAAATTGCATATGCTTGCAAATTGATGAATATTTTTGTTGTCCTTTGGATATCTTAAATTTATGGATGCCAGAATCTTTATATGTTATGTTTTTTTTTCCCATCCTTGCGAGAAGTTCCTTAAAAGCTATACTCTATGATTAATTACCAGGTTTTGATTATATAATGTATTTGTCTGCGTAAGTTTGGTTATGATGATAAAATTTTATCTCCATTACATTTCATGGCTAATATTATTATTACCAGAATTGCTCTATTTTACTATTGCTATTATTCTTCTCATTTTTCTCATTGTATAACCGATTTTAAGCTTTCTGTAGTCATGGCTTACATACTTTTGGAGAAGAGCAAAAACCCATGGTATAGAGGAAGATATAGCTGAAGAGCACCTTCGTTTTTGGATAGGGCGCATGGGCCAACCACCAACTTCACATGATGTAGTTGACGGTATATTCTTCGTTGACATCTTCATTTCTTGCTTGTGGGAATGAAAAAAAATAGATGGTCATTGTTCTTGTTGTGTTAATCATAAGCTAGTACAGTTGAACTTGCTTGCAAATTAAGTTAAGCCAAGAAATGCTCCATGTGCCTGTATTGTGTGCTGGGGATGTAATTCAATCATCGTCTAGAACCCTGGTGTTCACATGATGTAGTTGATGGCATACAGGCACACAATTAGTTGATGGCTATTCTTGATGGATAATTAGAATAGTCTAATATATCTTTTTAATTCGAAAATAAGATTTATTGGAATTTACTGCTGTTATATTTGATTAGACCACCTCTCCAATAGATTTCCAGGTATTAAGAAGCATGTAATTTGCACATGCAAATGTCTTTAGAATTCCATAATTCTTCAAGAGTTGTATTTCATCTTACATGCTTCCTGCCTTTGTTCCCCATCTTTTGGGTCTGCAGTGGAGCGGGGACTGATAGAGCTGAGGAAACTGGGCATCGAGCAGCAATTGTGGGAAGCTTGTCGTATGGAATTTGATGCCAATCAAAAGCCAGAAGCTGATGCAGAAAACTCATAGCTTGCATAGCACTGCTACGGTTTTATTCATTTGTTTACATATATACATGTTTCTCGTTGTCTCAGTTTGCCAAAATCTACAGCATCCAATTTTTTGAATTTAGTGCTTCAAAGTGAGTCATTTTGAGAGACTTGTTTGCATGTACATAAAATGCAGTTACTGAGTGCATTCTCCTTACAATATATCTTCCGAAATAATATGATGAATTACAAGTAATTCTTTTATGGCCACAACCACTGAAGCAGATAAAATTGAGACCCGATATTCCAACCTTCTCGGCTTGAGCATTCTTTGACAATGGCCATTGCCTTGGAGCATAACAGATGTTGGGCACTTGATGAGTAATATTGTGTCGCAGCAGCTCATTCTTATATGTTGTATGCGTTGTTGGGTGACCGTCGAACAAATTGTTTTGCTTTATTTACCTATTGTTCATGCTTATGATGCCTAATGATAGATAGATAGACAGATCATTGCAATACACTAATCTCCATGGGAGCGTTATGTGCAGCTGTTTGCAGAACTCAATGGACTGTTGGCTTCGTCTTTTACTGTCATCAGCTTTTTGTTTTATACCTAGATCTAATCGTAATGCTTACCATTTAGCTTTCTCGGGAAGAACCATTAGGTCCTCTATTTTTGTGTATGTTGGTTTCAGTTGTTTAAGCTTTCTCGTATGTTTATGGTACTGCATGCAGGGTGAGGGATTGTGTTTAGAGAGCTGATCTATCATTGCAGTCATGATTTCCCACGTCAAAAGAAGACGAGAATGGCACTGTACACTAGTGTCCTTCCCTCGCCCATCAGTCGTCTTTTCCACGTACACTACTGTCCTTGTGCCATTCGTTCGTGTGAGCCATTGCCTATTATTTTCGACACCACCAAAATCCATTTCACGCTCATCAATGCATGGCTTCAGCTGCTTCCGAGGACGTCTGAATGCCTACCGCATAAAGAATATTGAGGTGAAGTTTGATTCCCCTCGGTTGCTGAGACCAAATTGCACGGACCCTCTGTAACACTTACAATCCTTTATTATCTTCCATGTACTTAAAAGGTAAAATTAAAAGAAAAGAAAAAGAAGCAGCACCGAGTGGATTTTGCAGTCAAATCTTGTCATCCATTGGGGGTGCAATGGCTACGGTTATATGCATGGTTATAACATGGAATCCACGCTTCTCATTGCCTAGCTTGATTAGGTACCACCACTTCACTGTTACAAAAAGGAAAACAAAGCGTATAGCCTGTACAGGATCCTCCCATGCAAAACCATACAGCCAATGTGGGTGATGCTTAGGAATCCGACACGACGAACATTTAGCTGATGTTTTAATGTTATCTAACATTTATCAAACATATAGTTTAATGAGAGATCTAAACTAGTTTTAAGGATTGAGATTATGGAATCTCATCCAATTAATTTTGAGAATGCTAACTTAACTAGTAAATAATTTAACCGCGGATAACAATGCTATGGGATCTAAGATCCAATCAAGTCTTCATCACTTATATATTTTTTTTTATATAAAAAAATATTGTTACTTCCAAAACTTATTCCATAGACTAATAAAAAAAAAACATATTATTTTTTTTATTGTTTTATGTTGAATTTTCAACTTGAAAATTTTCTAATTCTATATACGTAAATAATTTGGGGTCACATGGCATCAATCATATGTGCCAATAATATATGAGATCTGCTGCTGTCTGATGCACATGACAGCTAAAGCCAGCAAGGAATCTTGGGCCATGGCTGGGGGCCCACCTCGGGCTGCGTGTAGCAAACCTGCTTCGCAAGGGCCCCCCACCTCCCGCTGGGAAATGCGTCGTCCCTTCTTACTGGCGAAGGTGGCTACCGGCTGCGTGTGGCAGATGCCTTGTTCCCTCCGGCCTTCCTCCCTCGGTCGTAGTGCAGCGACACATCGGATTCCACGCTCTAATTCTCCACCGTTTCTCCCCCCAAAACAATTCATCCGGAGTCCATGCAAAACTCCGGTAATGTTCTTTCTTTGATTCTTACTCACGAATCGAATCGAAGGCACCGAAGAACTAATACGTCTTCTACACAACAATATTCTACATCTATTTATCCTCCTCATGGATGCATGCATGCATGCATGCGAGCAAGCATACAGCAAAAGGAAGTTGCAGGCACATTGAGACGTGAGCTTCCGAGATCAAATGATGGCCTAGAAAAGCTCTCCACCGAGGAGTTAGCGGTGCTGGGCCTCATTCCATCGTGATGTGATGTGGACCTGAGCTGATGAGATGGATAGATCTGACACTGCTCATCGGTCCCGTCCTTCCTTCTTTCCTTCCGGCCAAAACTTCCATTTATTCTGATGCCAGCAGATGGTGTGGGTTATCCCATGTCCGATGGCAAGCTATTAGGTAGACTTTGACCTGCAGCACCGAGTGATTTGACTCGTAATTTGATTTGGCTTGGAAAACGTGCAGTACTAGGGGGACATGGGTCCCGCGGTCCTCTCCCTCAGATGCGGGTCCTGGGTCCCGGTACAGCCGAGAGGAGAGGAACAGGAGACGAGACGCCAGCTGCCGCGACCCCTCTCCGTCATCACGCATTGCCATGGCCAACTCGAGGTTTGCTTCAAGGATGATCGAACCTCTGTGGACATCCATAAGACCCTGATGCACCCACATTAGTGATTTGCTTTGTTGATCCATGACAGAAAATATCGAGGCACTCACATCGTGTGATGAGGAGTTGATGCTTGATCGATCATCTATGGTGTTGTTGAAGCACCCACATCGAGCAAAAAGGAAGACACCCCATTCACCCACTTTAGCTGATTTTATTTATTTTTTGTTGATCAACGATAAAAAAACACCAAAACACACTCACAGTCGATCATCTATATCATTACGAGATGCCCACATCCATCTACTTCAAAAGGCAGAGGGTGGACATGAGCCAACACACCTACATCAGGCAATAGAGAAAATGGTTGATCCCCCTATTGCAACTGTGCCAAGGGACTCACATCGAGTGGTGGAAGCTCATCTCCACTCAATCTGGAATGTGGACATGTCTAGATTTGAATTAGGTGGTGACCTATTTTCTTGCAATCTAGAATGGACATGTGAGATGCTAATGCAATAGAAAAGATAAAGATGATTGATCTCTTGCTCAATGATACTGGGGGATCCACATGACTGGTGGAAACCCATATCCAACTGATCTGTAATGATACGCTGAGATGCCGACATCGAACAGTGATGTGTCTCTACCCAATCTATAATGAACATGTTGAGATACCCACATTGGCCAGTGGAAATCTAGTTCCATCTAATCAGCAATGGACGTGCCGAGATGCCTACATTAGGTGGTGGAAAATTCGAGTCATCGAATTATCATCGATAGGGAAGTGAGGTTTGCTGAGGTCTTCAAGCGGCATCGAATAGAATGTCGGTTGTGTCGAACAACCCAAATCTGATGCGAAGATGGGGAGGAAGTTGGTCGGTATCTCCGACAGTTGTAGACCATCTCAAGGAGATAATTGCTTAACGTCGTCATGTCTTATCCTCTTTCTAACGCTGAACTTATTAACATCAAAGTTGGTCACCCGATAAAGAGGTGGAGGAACGACTCGGTCAAGTTGGGACTCGATGAGAGATAACGCATGTCATCCCTAGTCGTTAAGGAATGGTCGGAGAGGAATCGACCGACGGAGTTCGGATGCTACTCGATCTCTCAATGTGATGCTCGATACTTTATAGAAGACGGAGTTGACTCGGCTATTTTAGTTCAACATCTATCAATTGTACGATAGTGCATTAATCACTAGAATATTTTGCTAGAAACATCCCATTGATCACTAGAATATGTATTAATCGTACAATAGCGCCTTTAATCACTAGAGTGTTTCGTTCGAGACTTCCCTTAACATCGAGCTGTCTTGCAAGTTTTCTTTTGACCTAATTTGAGATCATTTAAGTAGTACAAAAAGCCTTTTTTTTTTGTTTCTCACTCTAACATATCATAGAAATTAAGCACTCGGGCAGAGAATTGCTTCAAAGCACCTTTTAATTGAATATGTCTGATAATTATTGCTCCATGTCGAAATAATAATAATAATAATAATAATAATAATAATAAAACTCTTGTTGTTGGATAGAATATCTAAAATTTTAGCTTTGTCCAACAAAAAGGACAAAGCGTCCAACTTAGATCAGATCAAACTGTTGTTGGATTGGATCGATAGTTTATTGGACTGCCAGCTAAAAAGCGATTCCTATCTTCTTGAATCTCTTTAGAACAAAAATTATATACCGCAATGGAAGTAATGTTTTCTTCACGAGGATAGATCAAAATACGATTTGGCTATGGTTATGGTAATATTCTCCTAACGATTGCGACAAATTTACCTTTGGATATGCTTAGTAGACTGCATCTTTTACTTTGGATCGAGGATTAAAGAGTGCCTCATTATCTCCCAAGGAAGAGGAGATAAGGATGCAGTTGTCGGAAGAGAAGGCGTTGGAGAGCGAGTGTGGTACTAAAATATGGAAAAGCCAACGAGCTTTCTCCTGCCGACGGTCCCATTCCGCGACTTTTCGCCAGAGAAATAAAAAAGGAGGAGGCAAAAGGGAAAAGATAAGTAAAAGGCCTTTGCGTTGTTCACAAGCCTCCGAAGGACGAGAGCATGGAAGCTTTGCATCCTCTCCACTTATTCTTACACCCCACGCCGACCACTTCCAACCGATGAGTTGGGACCTCGGTGTGATTCATTCATCACGTATTGTATATTCCTTTGATCGATTCGAAAGGGATTAGTGCTGACAAAAGTCATCACACGCAATTCCTACTCCCGATGAGATTGTTTAATTAGGTGAGAAAAAGGGCGCCTCACTCATCATAGAATTAGTCTTCGTTCGTTTGTTTGTTTGTAGAGTTAGCTGACTACTCCCCGCTATTTGCGCCGGGAGTAGTTTGCGTTTTCTACTCATCCATGTCTTCTCCTCTCCCTCTCTCTCTCTCTCTCTCTCTCTCTCTCTCTCTCTCTCTCGCTAAAGGCCATAATAGGTCGAACGACAAACAAAAAGCGAGTAGAGACCATGCTTATTGATGGAGAATTGTCGAACATTAACGATGGTAGCCTTTTACTAAACGTTCGATCGAATCTAGCTTTTGCCTTTTGCAAGATCAAGTTGATTAAACAAGAGAGAGAGAGAGAGAGAGAGAGAGAGAGAGAGTAATTGGCATCTCATGGTTTATTGGGTCAGGTAGAGACCATCCTTCTCTCTTAAAGATGGTTCATCTAAAAGGACAACCGCCAGAATCCAAGATGTTGAATCCATCACAAAGACACCATGAAACCAAGCTTGCTTTACTCGCTCTAAACAAGGAAGAAAGATTGCATTATTTGAACGTAAAGCTGTTTTAAGTACTCGGGAAGCAGCAGCGATCGGTGGTCAAATAGAGAGAGGCCCGTGAGAGAGGGGGCCATGGGAGGGGGGAGCATGCACGAGCTCCGAGGCAGCAGCGGCATCGGCCATGTGCCCAGGCATCTCAGGCTTCCAGAGGGCGGTTCGGTTGATGATCCAGCATCAGAATCATAATTGGAATGGCCACTTGGTTTTGTACGTTCTGTAAAGAGAATATTTGGTGCTGCTAATAATCGCTTCTTTTGCGTCTGGCGACCGAGAGGTCGATGAAGATCGAGAGAGAAGCAAGGGCAAGCCAAATCCATGCACTGCTCGAGGGTTTTGGAGCTTTGCCATGGCAAAGAGTCCCATGTTGGTCAGACAAGCGTGACAAACTTGCGGTCTTGCCAAGGCTTAGATTTATGGTGGCGAGAACATCACCATCATCCTCCCGAGACCGCACCACGGGGACCATGGCAATTTGCTGATGGCTAATTAAGCATCCCAAGGAACCCAAAGGAGGGACTGTTCACGGATGTCACCTTGTGTGCGCCATGGATCCCATTCGGCCATCACTCTGCATCATTGCTCAGGGGATGACTTGCAAGCCAAGTTTTAGTCGGTCATCGGAGTTGGTGGACGAGTGAGAACTCTGAAATGATTCGTTGATTTAGCTTCGGTACCAATTTAGGGTTCATAATCAGACAAAGCGGTCTGCAATCCTACAGTGTATGATTGGCAACCATACATGGCTTGTCTAGGGAACCCCATAAAAAACCAGAAAAACCTTACCCATGCGACAAGATCATCTTTTTCAACTCCAATTATTAGTCATGAGGATTCAAAGCTGGCTGGCTGGCTGGCTGAAGCCAAATCCAGATCCGTACTATGTGACTGCAACCACATTCTATCACTAACGTACTGACATGGCATCGATGATCCCAGACATTATCCAAGAAGAGGTCAATGTTTCAGTGACCGGATTGCCGAGCGGGAGCTACAAAGTTCCATCAGGCATCCCTATACCACTACATTGTTTAATCCTTTAGGCTCTACAGCATCACGAGAGAGAGAGAAGAGATTATGATGCTACTAGCTACAACCCTGTCTCTGGTTGAGGGCCTTCTTTCTTTCTTGTCAAGGTTGGGGAACAGCAAGAAATGCCATTCTAATCACGCAGAGGTAGCAGTGTGCAGAACTGTAGTTCGCGCTCCTCAAGAAATGGCATACGACCGGCTCCCGCACGGTAGCTCAGAAGATGGCAACTTAACAGCTACGACGAGGACGACAGGGGCCTGTAGATTCCCCGTAGCCCGACGCTTCACATGTGTGTCAGGGTTCATATATGTGGGATGACTGAAACAGGAGCGACCAGCTTTCTCAAATGCCTTGTGCTCCCAATGGAATCCCCCCTCTGCTGCGTGGCAGCCTCCTTCTTCACCCCTCAGACGGTAGAGAGAGAGAGAAACGGATTTTGGCATTTTGCTGCACAGAAGAGAGAGAGAGAGAGTCTCAGGATGGCTACTCCGTTCTTCCATGCGCGCGCGCGCACACACTGAGAGGACGGGTGATAGCAGCTTCACCATTCTTACGTATGACAAAGAAGATCTCAGTTTGCATGTTATGGAGTCAGAATGTTTGGATTGTTAGGATTACTTTCTGAGATGGCAAATGGTACACTGACAGTGTGAGAGATTCCTTCGAGCGTGATGGGACGCATGTAAGAAGCAATAAAAATAATAATAATAATAAGTCATTGACAAAACTCCAGTTGTAATTGAATGCGTTGAAATGGGTAATGTCAACTTCAATCCAACATTGACGCTGGTCGATGCTGACCGGTTGCAATGTTCCAACCGCTTGAGGTCGACTATGTTGATGTTTCGATCAAACATTGGATTCTATTTTACTCAGGTGACTCGGTGTACATCCATCCATCCATGCTTGTATGACGCTGGCTATCAACTATCTAACACAAATTCTTTTTTCTTCTTTTTCTTTATTTTTCTTTTCTAGTGAGAGTGATTAGTGGTGGTGATAAATATTCGATAGTAAATCGATATGGACATATATATGTGAAAGAATATTTAAGGGATTTATGTCTACCATTATTAATATTATCCTTCAGTCTAATCTTCTATAGAAATGGAAAATGGACTAAAATGAGGACACCTTCCTTACCTTGATGTCTGGATGTTGATAATGCCTCCTAAAACTCTTGATGGAACATCAAATCTAGTGTTGGAGCTACTGGCAGTATCAGGTACCCATCAGCAAGTTGTTGAGATATATATATATATATATTGGCTGAGTGGCAGATGGCAGACAGGATCTTTAAGAGAGAAAAAAAGGTTAATTCCTGGCAAGTGCTTCAGTCCTCTCTGTTCACTGTCTTACAAGAAAGAAACAGAGCATGCATAAGCTCCCTTTTCTCAAAACCCAACCAGGTTTCTTGCCTGCCTGCACACCCATTCCCTGGACCAATAGACTAATAATAATACTAATAATAATAATAATAATAATAATAATAATAATAAAGGTCCCTGAACAAAATAGAAAAAGTTGGAACAATGCAGAAAGCCAACTTTCCACCCTCCATCTCTCTCCTGGTGGTCAATCATGTGACCTTAAATTGGTTTTTTGTTGGACCATGGAGCAGTGAATCTGTCATAAGGTTTGTAGCTAACACTGGTGTTGTTTATGATGCTGGGTGTGCCATTTTCAACATCAAGCACAGTGACAAGAATGCATTTAGTCTGCATCACGCCACTGCCTCTCTTATCACTTAGCTGGGCTTTGGTCAACAGCAAACTAGGGAGGGAAAAATAGCACGGTATAGATGGAGAAAATGGAAAAGGAAACCAGTACCAGAGGACATCTTGCCTATATATATTTACACACCATCTCCCCTTAGCCACCACCGCTTGCCCAAAACACCTCCTCTTCCTCAGCCTCCTCTCTCGGGCTCTGCAAACATGCATTCTCCAGCGTGGGAGGCCATCATAATGGCTGCAATTCTTGTTCAGGTTTGCTTCTCCAGGGGCTTGCAGCCCAATCCAGCCGTCCCAGATAGAATCACCAAGCTGCCTGGGCAACCCCAGGTTACCTTCCAGCAATTCTCAGGTTATATTACGGTGGATGAGTTGCAGAAGAGGGCTCTTTTCTACTACTTTGTGGAAGCAGAGATGGATCCATCCTCAAAGCCCCTTGTTCTCTGGTTGAACGGAGGTAATGCTACATCATTTTCATTGCGGTGTTCCTGTAGTTGACATGCTTCTCTAGAACTTAAAAAAAGCAACTTTAGCTTCTGCGGGATTTAAAGAGAATTTTGGAATGGAGCATAGGATGGATTTCCATAAGAAAGATGAAAAGATGAAAATTTTCCCTTCCGGTTTTTCGAAATATGACTGCCACAAAGCTAATGGGAAAAGGGAAAGAAGTTCCTACCTTTCCGACCGCTAATGTGATCGGTTTATCTGTGCAGGGCCTGGTTGTTCTTCCCTGGGGGTTGGGGCATTCTCTGAAAACGGACCTTTTAGACCAAGCGGACAGGTGCTGGTTAGAAATGAGTATAGCTGGAACAAAGGTAAAAGGCTGCACCGACCTGAAATTTCTCCCTTAGATCTTTTTTCTTGTGAGAGTTGCTTCTTTGAATTTTTGCAATATTTTTGTTGGGTTTAGATTCAAGGAGACGTGCGGTAACACATTTGCTGTGATTTGCAGAGGCAAATATGTTGTATTTGGAGGCTCCGGCAGGAGTTGGATTCTCTTATTCTGGTGACTCTTCCTTCTATGATGGGGTGAATGATAAGAAGACAGGTAGGTTTCCTGTCATCTAAAGCAAATGTGTGTTCACGGTCGAGAGATATCATCGGAATAAATCTCTGGCTTTCAGCAAGTATACGATGATAATGTCTGCAACTTGCTTCTTAACAGTCCTTTTAGGAAAAGATTATTTGATTTGGACTACCTTTCCATGTTATTCTCACGGACAACATTGTGATGTTGTTGTTAGTGACTTCTTCTTCTTGTTTTCTATGTTTTGGGTTTGTCAAGCCTGGGATAATTTGGTGTTCCTGCAACGGTGGTTCAATAAGTTCCCAGGGTACAAGAACAGGGACTTGTACATAACAGGAGAAAGCTATGCAGGTGACAATTGTTCTTCCTTTCCTACATAACCAAGAGCTTTCTTTTTGGGTCTCAATATCTCGAAATTCCTTTTATCAGGTCATTACGTCCCGCAGCTGGCCCAACTCATGGTTGAATTCAACAAGAAGGCCAAAATATTCAATCTCAAAGGAATTGCTGTAAGTTTTTCGACAGTTTTTATCGATCTTACTCGACTGTATTGCGGGCATAAACCAATTGCTGCCTGCCACAGATGGGTAATCCGGTTCTTGAATTCGCAACCGACTTCAATTCGAGAGCAGAATTTTTCTGGTCCCATGGATTGATATCAGACTCGACTTACAGAATATTCACTTCTGCTTGCAACTACTCGCGCTACGTGAGCGAGTACTATAGAGGCTCGCTTAGCCCGGTTTGTGCAAGAGTCATGAGCCAAGTGACAAGGGAAACAAGTAGATTTGTTGACAAATATGATGTTACCCTAGACGTGTGCATATCATCGGTTCTTTCACAGTCCCTGGTCCTCAGTCCTCAAGTAGGTTTATATCTGTTTGCCGACCCATGGCCTACTTTCACCTTGATACCTGTTTCTGAGCTAGATTTTGTCTGTGCTGCAGCAAGTCCCGGAGAATATTGATGTGTGTATCGAGGATGAAACAGTGAATTATCTCAACCGGAAAGATGTGCAGGATGCTCTCCATGCCCGCCTGACTGGAGTGACAAAATGGACAGTCTGCAGCAGGTATCGATGGTCACTTGGCCTATCGAACTACATAATATGAAGTTTCGTGATTTTGCTTGAATTGTCATGTGAAGTATAACACGAGTTGTCAGCGCTTATTCATCGTCCGTAGTCTTAAGTACTTTAGCTCGCCTCTTGGAGTGCATAACTTGATGTTTCAATGCAGTGTCCTTCAATATGAGCTGCTTAACCTGGAAATACCCACAATAACTCTCGTCGGCTCCCTTTTGAAGGCCAGAATCCCAGTGTTAGTGTACAGGTAACTAAATATTCATTTCACTGATGCTACATCTATTTAATGGGCCTTTCCAAGTGGAAGAGAACTTATGTTTCTTTTTCTTCACCAGTGGTGATCAAGATTCTGTCATACCTTTGACTGGGAGTCGAACTCTTGTTCAGAAGTTGGCGAATGAAATGGGACTGAAGACGACAGTTCCTTACAGGGTTTGGTTTGAGGGGAAACAGGTGAACGCGGAATCCATGTAGTTGTTTTTCGAAGTGATATGGTCCGTTTCCGTGAAGCTCATATCGGTTCTTAATTCCCCTTGATGACTTTGACAGGTTGGTGGATGGACTCAGGTGTACGGCGATATCCTTTCTTTTGCGACAATCAGAGGAGCTTCTCATGAAGCTCCGTTCTCGCAGCCCGAGCGTTCCCTTGTGCTCTTCAGATCTTTCCTACAAGGCAGACCACTACCAGAGACGTTCTCGGGGTTTCCCTGACAAGAAGCTGATAGCAAGGCTTGTGTGTCTTATGTAATTACATGAGAGTTTAGCATTCATCAACTTGGTTCTTCTGAAACTTTGAGTTTGAGAAGTAGCGTGAAGGAGCACAAGAATTTGTGTTCTTGGTCAGCTACCAGCTTTCTGTGAGGTGATTGTCTCATGAACATATCGCGACATATTAATGGCGACCGGCAATCGTTGCTTCTAAAATTGTAATCTTTCTCAGTTCTAAAATCGATGCATTGTGTAGAGGAATGGACTATCATGTTTATCAAGGAAAAGCTCGAAATTGATTTGTGTACTTGGAAAGTGTACCGAGTTTATGTGTAATGTCTTTTTCCTCGTAAGAAATGACTTGGTTTGTGGATCAACCTGTGAATGTTGCAGAGGAGGACTCTGATATAATATTCAATTTAATCTCTCCCGACACAGAATTCTCTGAGACTCCAACAACATTGAAGGAATGATTTGGCACATGTTGTGTTTTATTCAGAAAATTAGTGAAATAGAAAGACAACATTGCATAGCACATCTCAAGACAACTTTTTAGGAGAAACAATGATCAAACAAAATTTTGAGAATTTGAATGCGAAATTAAACAAAAATAATAATAGTAGAACCAGGTAAAATACCATTTACATATTAAGAAGTAGGGGCAAATTGAAATTTAGATTGGAAGGCCACAGTCGATGCAATTAGGATCTTTATGTGAATCGAGTATTGCCAATTTGAGGTAAGGATAGATGATATTGGCTTTTGATAATACCAATGTGCGTATGCTAAGCCCATCTAGATATCACAAACATAACATATGCTTTCGTCCTAAACAACCATAGAACATCATATCGATATAAGATACACCATTCAAAGGTCCAACAGTCTTGAACAAATTTGAAATATGAATCGGATTCTTGGAAGAGTTTTGACTGTGTAAATTCTACGTTTGGTTGTGGATGCGCCATTGATAGACATTGTTTCTAATAAAACCAAGAACTAATGCACTCACTATAAAACCTTCAGTTGTTCTACATTTAACTTTGCTAACCAAAATAATCCACGTACGTGAATGAATTCAACTGAATTCTTCCCGATGTTGGAGAACATGTTTCAAGTCACTTAGGTTAAACTTCTCAAGTGTCTGATTGAGCATATAACCAAACAGTACATACTAAATCACTCGAACAAATTTCCTAAGGTAGAACCCAAGGCACAAGCAAACGATAAATGTATTTCCAATCGTAGCTTGACAGACAATGGATTATACATCTTGGGTAAGATCGTTCATGTTGCTGATATGATACATAGATCAGTTTTTATTCTCCGTGTGTAATGCTACAGAATGCACAAAATGAATGCTGTGAAGTTCACGGACCAAACACCACAATCCCCACGCAGTCTTAAAAGTCTCATGTACCATTTTGTAACTTGTACATCTTATTGATTTTATTTGAGAACAATATCATATTAGCAAATGTAGCACATATGATTCTATTAAAGAATTGTCAACGATGCTACACCCAGGGGGGTATATATTCTTTTGGAGAACCTATGCACATACGACGAGAAATTTACAATGTCCCTAAATCTGCGGTTCCTTTCGGGACCACCCAACATGGTTAAGCGAAAGACAGACGGACACATGCACTTGCCGAGATGCATCGGAGTCTCATATTCCTCCGGCAACTCAGTAGGTATCAATCTGACCTAGTGTATCCATTGTGGAGTGCTTTTGACCTAACGTTCCTGCCTTCAGTTGCTGGGGGGTTCCGTTCTTCAGATCACCGGATGGAAGACACCAAAAAACAGAATTCCATAACAGGCATAATAGATTGTGGAACATTAATCTGCTCCGAAATAGCCATCATAGATGGAAAGCCTATCAAATGCATCGAAGTTGGCCTTCAAACCAACAAACTGACTACCGAATTGTGCGCATGCAGCATCTGGCCACTTGCAACCCTCTTTTGTGCGGAAGGGGCATATGTTCTCACATTCTGGGCTGATTTCGCAGTTGGCGACCATGCTATCCTCTGTGGCTGAAATCGAAACAGACAGATCAGCCTTTTCATCAGGCTGTCCTCTAGCATCAGAGTCACTTCTGCCAGAATATGTCAATCCTTCTCTTGTTTCTGACCATGAGCTTCCTATACTCACCGCATCACTCTCACCTCTTAAGAAATGCACTTTACATCCAAGCGACTGTACTGCACGTTTTATAGCCAGACTTTCCCTGCTGGCTCTTTTAGCCATGGCTAAAGCCGAATTACGGAACTGTTTTTCTTTCTGCAATTCTGCTGTTAGCAAATCCAGACTTAATTGGAGGTCATTAACCTTCGATTCTGCAATCTCCTTTGCCTAAAACACACAAAAAGTAGGAGTAAAAGATGTTAACTTATTCAAGTAAGGGATCGCTCAAGATCGGAGACAAAAAACTTCATGGTCACTGTGTGTCATGTAGATGCAATGGAGTAAGGTATCAGTGATGAAACTGAGCAAGCGTAAAAGAATACCTTAGCAATTTCAGAAAATTTCTTAGTCATGGTGCGCCACTGAGATTGAACCTCACCAGCTCCTGCCTCAGAAGGGCAAGCCCAGCGCAGATGGAATTCAGGCCATAGTGTGGGGGCTAATGCTGCTGCTGGAGGTAATAATGGACCATCATATTTCACTGGATCATAGAAAGGGTTATAGTGGACATGAGAGCCATCTTCAGGAGCATGTAACCATGCTAAGTACATCCATATGCACCCACAAGCATCTGCAACACCATTTTGCTGCCTCTCCTTCTCACTTCATAATCAGCATGTTCAGGATTTCAGTAAAAGAAATGGAACAAACAATTATCTACACATAAATCTCCATCATTTACAAGTTAAAACTATAATTAAATGCTGATGGTCACATATTATCTCTCGATACATCAGACAAGACCACCTATTGCCTCTAAATGTAAAATAAGAAATAAAAAAACTTAGACAAAGTTAATAGCTTCGGACTTGCAGGTAATTGAAAGATCCACTTCAATTTTTGGGCTATATTGTGAAAAACAGACTGATGGCCTCAGGGAAAAAAACAAAACTAACCGAAGAAATTATGGTTTCATGCAAAAACATGACATTTTATGCCAAACTATAAGCAAGCATTTACGTGCACCACAAATTTTGAGAAAAAACATGTCACAGTATTTTCGGATACATTGTCAAAAAATTAGTAACTAAATTCCATCAGATAAAACAGTATGATGCCATTTCCCATTACATCAGTCAAACTTATTGGAGCCCCTGAATGCAAATTGTATGCCCTTAACATTGTTTTTTCTGAAGTAAATACCTGTTGAATAAGAAGTTTCCAAAACGATAAGACAGCACACAGTCCAGAAAGTCAACCAGAAAAACCTATCAAACAAATATAATAATACATTAGACTTCCAGCTGGATCTCCATTGTTTTAACTCAGATTATCCAGTTTAGACAGAAATATATATTATGATAGAGGGAGACTTACTGAAGAAAACTGAAAAGCACATGGGTACATCCGTAATAGCTGTGAGACACAATCAATCCACTGCCAGGAGATCCCACAGAAAGAAAATGGTTCAGATGTCAATCCACTGTATGAGTTCACATATTCTCTCATCAATTAGTTTTTAGATTACTAAAAAATTCAGCCATAATTAAAGTTCAGAAGAGAGAAAAATCTGTCAGTCTAAATTGATAAAGGAGCACTCTTTTGACAGGGCTCATCAGAGGTTGTAAATGTATATGGCCTCGCAAAAGCAAAGTTTAAATAATCTTTTAATTAATAATATAAATAAGGATAGTCATTTTGAATATATAACTGAATTATAACAATGACTTTGCAACTAGCTTGAATCAATAAAAGTAACTCATTGCAAGCATTAAGCAAGTAACAACTATACAGTTGTAAAAGCAGCTAAGATGATAATTGATTCTGATACCATTTTATCATGACCCAACACAAGGTGATAATTGATTCATTAAATTGCTGAGCCTGAATTATTAGCCCAAAATGGTTAAACTTGGCTCTGATATTATTTTATCATGATTCGACCTGATGTGATAAGTGATCCATTAACTTGACCATGAACTATTAGTCCAAACTATTTAAACCCAAACTAATGGTATTATGGTAGTAGAATCAGCTCTAATACCATTTTATCACGACCCAACCCAATGATAACTGATCCATTAACTTGTTGAGCCTCAACTATTGGCCCAAGATGCGTAAACCCAAGCTAATGGTGGTAGACCCATCTAGCCTCCATTCAAGTCATCTCCTGCTTCTGATGTGAGATTAAACCAATGTATCACATTTATCTTCGAAGTTACAACCTCCCATTAGAGCATGGAGCAACACATGGTAAGAATGGTGGAATCGTCACCAGACTTTGAGTCAAAAAGCAACCCCTCACTATTAAAATGTGGACCAGCTCGATCCATTTCAACTAACTCAAGCCTCATTCAACCAAAAACAAAACCCAGAAAAACCATCCACCTTATTCTAACGTCTAAGTAAAGAGAGAGGAAGTGATGATCAGCATCGCCTTGAACTGCTGGCCAGGTTGGCAGCACCCTCTCATCGTGGGCAGCAGCCTCGTCTCCTTGTCATGAGCAATCTAGAGCTCTCAATCCTCGTAGCTCTTATGCTGCAGCAGCACATGAAGCCTTGTCTTCGAGGCGAGCTTTTTTCTTTAATATAAACTCAATCAAGGCGACTCGATGAACTTGAGTTGACTCGTTTGAGTCGATCATTCTTACTGAATCAACTCGCGAGTTAGGCCAATGCCACCATTTTTATATTTCAGCTACCAACCTGACTCACCAGGTCTGATCCAGGCCCTAAGATTGCATGATCCTATGGCCCTAATTGTGAGTTTGACAACCTTGGATCAAAGTTAAAAGAAAAAACACTTTGCTTTGTGTTTTTATGGCCCAATGACCTCATTTGTCCATCTTTAATAGAACAGAAGAAAAAGAAAAGCCAAAGTACCTGCAAAAAAATGGGAGAACAATTATTTGACGTTTGTCCATGTGTTGTGTTACCAGCTGAGGATGTGAACCCTGACCCTGAAGGCATTCGCAATGGTGACGAAGACAAACTCCCAACAGAAGATTGCCTTGATAACTCTGAAGGTGTGTTGTTAATTCCAGACACTGTTGGAAATCCCATGCGGTCTGAAAATGGATGCCCAAATGCAAGCCAATCCTTTTCCACGAGTGCCTATAAGACGAAAATATAGAAGACTAAGCTTACACTGTCTTGGTTAGCTCTATAACTGTC